GCTGGTGCTGCAGATGGAAGCTTAGCCCACTATACCACAGCTCTGGCCCCTTGTACATATGTCTTAACATACATACTGAAAATCTAAAAAACAATGGATTGTCACTTTTTTTAAAAGATATATTTTATTTATTTGAAAGACAGAGTTAGAGAGAGAGGTAGAGACAGAGAGAGAGGTCTTCCATCCCCTGGTTCACTCCCCAGATGGCCGCAATGGCCAGAGCTGCACTGACTTGAAGCCAGGAGCCAGGAGCCTCCTCCGGGTCTCCCGCATGGGTGCAGGGGCCCAAGGACTTGGGCCATCGTCTACTGCTTTCCAAGGCCATAGCAGAGAGCTGGATCAGAAGAGGAGCAGTGAGGACCAGAACCAGCGCCCGTATGGGATGCCGGCGCTTCAGGCCAGGGCATTAACCCACTGCGCCATAGCGCCGACCCCCAAGGATTGTCATATTTTTAAAAAGTCATTCCAGTGACTTTCCTACATCAAATTTGGAGGCAATTCTTCCTTAAGAGGATATCAATACCAGTGTCTTCAAATATTTCTGTTACATGAATCCCACCAATTCAAATTATAATATCATAGACATGACATACTCAAATTTTCAGTCTTTCACAATACATTAACAAATTAGGAAAACTGGACTAAGATGTTACAAAGTGTACATGGTTCAGACAGAGAAACAAGAAGTGGTTTTCTGTTGGAAACAGTTCTCCTAAACAACATGGGAGAAGTAACTGAAAATATTCCAGACAGATTAAATGCACAATCATGACTCCAAATTGCTTGTTTTTTAAAGGAGATGAAACTGTGAAGACACAGTTTTAGCCATCTGAATGCCTTTACTTCACCCCCGACCTGAAGCAACCACTGTCCAGATTTTGTATCTGCATTTAGACATGTTTTTCACTTTAGTTAACATATATGCGTCAATAAACAAAATTGTTTTTGTAAAATTCAAAACTTTCTGTAACTAGTATTATACAATCTGCATTTTGATTTGTTCATTCAGTGTTTTTTAAAAAAGATTTACTGTACTATTTATTTGAATGGCAGAGTGACAGAGAGGAGAGACAGACACACACACACACACACACACACACAGAGGTATCTGAGGTATCTTCCATTTAGTGGTTCACTCCCCAAATGGCTGCAACTGCCAGGGCTGTGCCAGGTTAAAGCCAGAAGTCTAAAATTCCATCCAGATCTCCCACATGGTTAGCAAGGGCCCAAGAACCTGGGTCAACTTCTGCAGCTTTCCCAGGTGCATTAGCAGGAAGCTGGATCAGAAGTGGGGCAGCTGGGACTTGAACCGGCTTCCATTCAGGATGCCAGCATTGGCAGCTGCTACTTTACCAGCTATGACACAGTGCTGGTCCTGTTCATTTAGTGTTTTGATTTTTAATACATTCGTTTATGTACAAAACCTGAGTCTGGGGGCTCACACTGTGGTGCAGTAGCTTAACCCTCTGCCTGTGGCACTGGCATCCCATATGGGTGCCAGTTCTAGTCCTGGCTGCTCCTCTTCTGATCTAGCTCTCTGCTATGGCCTGGGAAAGCAGCAGAAGATGGCCCAAGTCCTTGGGCCCCTGCACCCATGTGGGAGACCCGGAAAAAGCTCCTGGCTCCTGGCTCCAGATCAGTCCAGCTCTGTCTCTCTCTCTCTGTCTCTCTCTGACTATAACTCTACCTCTCAAATAAATAATAATAATAAAAAATCTTAAAAAAAAAACCTGAGTCTGTCCATTTCCATGACAGCATAGCTTTCCACTGTACAAATCTAGTAATGTATTTATACGTTTTTCTCTTGCTCAACATTTAGAATTCCAACTTCCTGTTGTTAAAAATATGCTGCAGTGCATGTGAGTTCCTCTGAGGTATATGTTTGGGCAGATTTGCCACACATTTACATCATCCGTTTTACTAGATAATGCAGCACTGCTTCCCAAGGGGGCTGTGCCAATTCACACACCCACCAGCTGTATGTTAAATCTTCCTGTTGCTTGCTACCCTTGGTAACACTTGGCATTGTCACACTTTGTCATTTTCACCACTTTGGTGTGTGAAATGTTATGTTAATGTTGCATGCATTTTCTTTGCCCTGATGAATTTTGAAAACTATCTTTGCATATGTGTCTTGTCATTTGGGTTTCTTCTTGCGTTAGGTTTTTGAGTTTACAAAAAATTCAAAACAGAAAATTTCATCTGCCAACGACTTTGAATAACAGATTTGAATCCAGCCCTCTAGGATTGCGTGAAATCTGAATGATGTTTGTGCCAAAAGTGCCAAAGAAATGCCTGAAAGTAATGAACAAACTTGGATTTTTCTTACTGGATGGATTTGTGGCATAAACACAGTGTGGTCAACTATATGTATTTATCACCCCCCAAAAAAAATGCCTAAAAGGTGGCTGATTTAAAAAGGTGGAATAGCTGCCAGTAGATGGGAAGAGGAGGTGCTAGGACATAGCTAAATAAATGCTGTTTACTTCTAAACCAGAAAGGTAGACTTTGAAATAATCTCCTGGACTTGGCTGGAATGAAGATTTAGGAGAGGAAATCTCACATTTGTTTCTAGTAGTGGAAATTTTGTTTGAAAACTCTCTAGTTTTTCTGTTTTTAATCACACCCAGGGTTTCTTCTCCCTAGCATTCTCTAGCACTTGATTTGTCTTGTTTCAAAAGACACTTGTCTGCAACTAGGAGATGATGATTCTTTGTGTTCTTGGTCTCCTGTCTCCTTCGTAGGACAAGGGTCAAGCCTTTTACCTCTTTTGAAAATCTGAGTTGTAGATCTAGAGGTGACTTGCAAGTAAGAACCACTAGCGTTTCTTGGGCCTTTGCAATTTTTTTAAAAAATTTTTTTATTTTTTTGACAGGCAGAGTGGACAGTGAGAGAGAGAGAGACAGAGAGAAAGGTCTTCCTTTGCCCTTGGTTCACCCTCCAATGGCTGCCGCGGCCAGTGCACTGCAGCTGGCGCACCGCGCTGATCTGGTGGCAGGAGCCAGGTACTTCTCCTGGTCTCCCATGGGGTGCAGGGCCCAAGCACTTGGGCCATCCTCCAGTGCACTCCCTGGCCACAGCAGAGAGCTGGCCTGGAAGAGGGGCAACCGGGACAGAATCCGGCGCCCCGACCGGGACTAGAACCCGGTGTGCCGGCGCTGCAAGGCGGAGGATTAGCTTAGTGAGCCACGGCAGCGCCTTTGCAATTTACAAGGTGCCTTCCTGTTCACGTGATTGCCCCGAGCCGAGTGAAGTGGGCGGAGGATCATTGGTGCTAGCCTCTCTTGACAGAGCAGCAGCTCTTGGGTGTTGAGCTGCTGAAATCAGAAGTCACATCTGACCACGGATGCCCCTGTCCTTCAAGACCGCATTCGTCTTTCTCCAGAGCACTTAGCCACAACTTCCTGTTGCTGAGGCCAGACACGCTTGCTGCCTCTGCCCACCCAAAGTGATTCTGTGTGTTCCTTATCATGGGAGCAGACTTGGACCCTTTTGGACAAGCGGGAGTTAGCAGAATTAGAATGCAACTCGCTTTAACCTTGGTAAGCGAAGCAACAATTCATCAGTGGCACTCAACCTTGACAGTATACTACAATAGCCGTGGTTCCTGGTGAGTTTTTAAGAAACATGACTCTGACCCCATCTCAAAGTAATGAAATTAGAATGAGGGCTCAAGAGGAGGCATAATAGTTCTCTTATTGGTGGTGGTGGGGGGGATCAGGTTCTTGTTTTCTGTGATTAATGCTGCTGCTGGTATTTGTTCTTCCTCAGTTAAAGAATAGTGTCAGTTCTATGATTTGTTAGCCTCTCTTAGCCAGTGTCTCCATCTACACTAGCTTGCTTTTCAAAGGGCTTCTGGTTTAGAGCTGTCAGCCAGCCCTGGCCTTGCAGAGATGAATCGGCCCCTTTTCCCCTGGACTCACTTTGTCGGCCCTTGATCCTGAGCATCTCCTCGATGCTTCCTCTCCTCTGCCTGACTTCCTAGTTCCTCTGATTCCTCCCGCCAGTCTTTGTCCTCATGACCTTCCTGCTGACTTGTCCTCAGGCTAAAATGGGCTTCTCTTATTGTATCTACTGAAACATCACACATATTCTCTCTTCTCTGCTTTGTCACCCTGTTGTAAAACATCCCGTGTCTGGCCAGAGGCTGGTCAAAACCCTGAACCCCCAGAGGAAGCTTGCTCTGGAAGTTTTGACAGGTCAGACATAGCCCTGGTGGGCTTGCTCTCAGGGAGGATTGTGAGGGTGTTGTGGAAGGTGGTGGTCTCTGCGTGCTGTGAATCCATTCACAGGACACTTCTGTTCCGTGATGGTGAGTGGCTTCCATGGAGTTGAGTGTGAGGCACATCTCACAGTGAGAGCAGGTTCTGGCTTGTGCTTGAGCCTGCCTGTTGCCGGATAGTGTGAGAGAGATATGAGCAATCTCCAAAGCTTGCCCAACAGCTTTATGGAAGCTGGCTTCTCATTTCGTCTCGTCTTGTCTCTTTTTTTGACAGGCAGAGTTAGACAGTGAGAGAGAGAGAGAGAGAGAGAGAGACAGAGAGAAAGGTCTTCCTTCCATTGGTTCACTCCCCTAATGGCCACCATGGCCGGCGCTGCGCCGATCCGAAGCCAGGAGCCAGGTGCCTCCTCCTGGTTTCCCATGCAGGTGCAGGGCCCAAGCACTTGGGCCATCCTCCACTGCCTTCCCAGGACACAGCAGAGAGCTGGACTGGAAGAGGAGCAACCGGGACAGAACCGGTGCCCCAACTGGGACTAGAACCCGGAGAACCGGTGCCACAGGCAGAGGATTAGCCTAGTGAGCTGCTGCACCGGCCGATAAAGCTAATTTCTGCTACTACCCACAGCCCAGGTCAAATCTTGCCAGAAAATATGACTGATGTAAAGAAAAAAAAGTTGGTTATATCAGGCAAATTATAGCAAGCTACAGCATTTGACTAATAGCAGCAGAATATCTCTTGTTTCTATTCAGCCTTCTAACGTGTGCTATTTGGTTCCAGGAGCTCGTGTAAATGCCAAGGACAACATGTGGCTGACCCCTCTGCACCGGGCGGTTGCTTCCAGAAGTGAAGTGAGTGATGACCTATTTCATCTAATACCTACTCCCCTTAGAATAAGACTTCTTTCCACTGAATTAGTAATCCTCATTGGTGAGCAAATGGCTTTTACCTGTGAAGCAAGAGGGTGACCAGAAATGAGCAACTGTTTATTTGAGCAGCTCTTTCGCACTGGACACTGTGCTGGTGAGGAGGCGTCTGGGATCGTCCAAGAAGGACAGCATAGCGTGGCCATTCACGTCAGTGAGTTTTCAGTCTGGAGGAGGGAGGAACAGCAGGAAGACATTGATTCTATGTCACTATTGACCTGGAGAAGGGAGCAGTAGAGTAGAGATCTTCCAAGAAGAGATGTCAGTTGAGCTGGTCCTTAAAGAATGAGTAAGGACTTACCAGGCCAAGAAAAGGAAGGAGGGCGGAGGCAGGGGACAAATGTGTCAGAGAACAAGAAGCGTAGAAGTAAATGAATAGTGGACTCAGAGGTAATTGGAATGCAGGGTGTGGCAGAAGGTGAGCCTGGGCCAGGTGACAGAGGGCCTGGTATCCTTTGGGCAGTGGAAAAAGGAAACAGCAGAAGAGTGACACACTCAGATCAGTTTTTCAGTACCACGACTGTGGTGACAGCATGGAAGTGGGCTGGGGATAAGGATTGTAGGCAGGGGTGCTCATAAGAGGCCAAAAGAGACCCCAAATAAAGGCAAGGGGAGGAGTCAACAACTTGGGAGGGAAACCTCGCAGGATTTGGCACCTTGTGGGAGAGAGGTAGAAAGGAGTTCGTTGATACTATTGACTGGCAAGACACAGAGCAAGTGACCTGGTCACTCCTATTTGAGCACCAAGTTTGGCAAATGTGCTTCTCGAGTATAAGCTCAGTGAGGGCAGGGTCTGCTTTTCTTTTGATGTGTCCCAAGCCCAATACATTGCAGAAACACAATGAACCTGGAACTGAAGAAATAATTCATTTGGAATGCTGGAAATTGGAGTGTAGATGACTAATAGATGATCTGTCATTATAAATGCAGGCTGGAGTCTCAGGGACAGGGGGGATGGTCATGGCCACTGTGGTAAATGGATCAGCTGGTTCTGGGGCAGCAGGGAACCTGGGAGCAGGTCACAGGAGATGCCTACCACCCAGGACACAGGAGAGTCTAACCTCAGAGGCACCTGGCATTGGGCAATTGGCCTTCATAGTTGAGTTTGCCACGGGAAGCTGCCCTGCTGCTGGAGAAGCAATGCTCCCCAGGTACCTTAGGAGCAAGAGGTGCGGCTGAGAATGAGTCACCGCAGTGGCAGGTGTTCATGGCTGTCATCCACGCCAGCTTTTCCTCTGTGGCACCTGTCTGGAAATTTCACAGTGTACTTAGTGGGTGACAGTTGAGTGCTCATAACATTTCTTGCTATGCTGTGTGATTTGAGTACTTCCCTCCCAACCTGCCCTCAAAAGGTTGGTTGCATTCTCTTTCTAAATAGCCCACATGAAATGAAAGAAGTAAATAGTCCTAATTCACTCTGGACCTGGGAATTTAGAATCTTCTTTTATTTTTTTCTTAAGAAACGTGTCTATTTATTTGAAAGGCTTGGTGATGGGGCATGGGTGTAGGAGATCACTCAATAGCTAGGGTTGGGCTAGACCAAAGCCAGGAGCTGGGAGCTCCACCTTGGTCTCCCTTAGAGGTGATGATAACCAAGTGCTTGGGCCATTATCTGCGGCCTCTCAGGTACATTAGCAGGAAGTGGAGGTAGGACTGAATGCCAGGCACTCTGATAGGGGTGCAGGAGTCCCAAGCAGGGGCTTAATCGATGTGCCACAGTACTCACCCCTCGAATCTTCTTCAGGTCCCACATTTTATGTCTGTTTTATCTGGGAGAACAGGTTGCAGTTGTGTGCTTGAGTTGGTAACAATGATTTCACCAGACTAGTTCCTTTACAGAGGAGTATTTTCTGGTCCAAATTTTAGGATCACTTGCTCTTTGATAAATTTAAGTCTCTTAAAATATTATGTGGATTTGTCTCCTCTTTAACAAGGATAAGCTCTTTTTAGTTTTAAAAATGCTAAGCACCTCCTCTATGACAGGAACTGTACTCATTGATCAAGCTAAAAGGTGAGTAAGATCTGGGGTCCCTACTCTGAGAAAGCATTTATCTAGTGGGAACAGCATGTGGTCTAGTGAGAAAGACTCAAAAGCAGGAGATTTCAGTACGAGATGTCCCTTCCAAGGCACCTCAACCCCTGCTAGCTCTCTAACTGCAAACATTTCAAAAATCCATTCTCCATTAGCAAGCACTTCACTTTCTTTACATATCTTTACTGTGTTTGAGTCCAGTCAACCCAATGATGGGTTGGCCTTTAGGTCCGATAAGGTGTGTTGCATCTCCAGATAACTAGCTCCCTCTGCAGGTTTATTGGGGGAAAAAATCCCTTGCAGGTGTCTTGCCAGGCAGGAATAAACAGACCCCAAGTTGTAAATCATCAGGGTCACTTATGAAAGAGAATGTCTTCATATTAACATGCATCAGAGCAGTTGAAAAGTTTCTTGTGAAAATTGGAGTCTCTGTCATTGTCAGAGTTGACTGTGCAGTGAACATCGTGACTCCAAGCGCATTACTGTGCTGCGGAGGTTTGAATTCACTCTTCCTCCTTGTTATGAATGTAGTCTGTGTGCCTTTGCTTTATGCCCCTTCTAATATTGGGGAAAGTGGAGTAGGCTTAAGGGCAGAGGACAGAAAAGGATTGGATTGCTGCTTTGGAATTTGGCTGTTAATATTTGCCAACAGGGATATATGATTTCAGCATGAGATCTGGCACATCTGTTTACTGTTTAGATTGGTAAGCCCTGGGATTACACACTGTGTATTAAAACCGTTTCTTCATTGAGAATCTTATGCATTTCTATCTTTCCTGAAAGCTTCTTTGTTTATAGAACGTTGGTTATTGATCTCTCAAGTTGCAAAGTTCAGAGAAACAGAACCATCTTAAGAGGTATAGGGTAAGATGTTAAAGGAGTTAGACCTTACACAATTGTGTAAGCTGCACAATTTTTCTTTTTAAAGATTTATTTGTTTGAAAGGCAGAGTTACGGGGACACACACACACACACACACACGCAAACACACAGATCTTCTATCCACTGGTACACTCCCCAAATGGCCTCAACAGCCTGAGCTGGGCCATTCAGGAGCCAGGAGCTTCTTCTGGGTCTCCCACATGGGTGGCAGGGGTCCAAGCAGTTGGGCCATCTTCCACTGCTTTCCCAGGCGCATTAGCAGGGAGCTAGATTGGAAGTGCAGTAGCCGAGACTCGAATTGGCACTCACATGGAATGCCAGTCTCGCAGATGACAGCTTTACCTGTTATGCCACAATGCCGGTCCCTGAAGAAGGCATTGTAAGCTTATCAACTCAGATTCTGTGTGGTCCTGCAGTTTCTGGAGGCTAGCAGGGTCTGCAGGTGAAAAGAAAAGCTGGATGTGACACGGGGGAGACTGAGGACAAACAGGAACTCTTGTCTGTGTCTTGCTGCCTCCAAAATCATGGACATAGCAATTTGCAGAAGGAGCTGCACGCTTTACCTCCAAGCTGCACTGCATGAGGCCCAAGAGTTGGAGAAACCTAAGGAGATGAGGAAGGATCTCAGGAAACATGGAACTGAGTACTGCGCATGGCAACGCAGGACCACAGTGCCGATCAATGTTACAGTATGCAAGCTGCAGTGGTAGCTGACACACCACACCAGTCAGGCTGTGGTTTCATTTGTACTTTTCTTTTTTTTTAAATTTTTTTCAAATTTTTTATTTTTTTGACAGGCAGAGTGGATAGTGAGAGAGAGAGACAGAGAGAAAGGTCTTCCTTTTCCGTTGGTTCACCCCACAATGGCCGCTTCGGCTGGCGCACCATGCTGATCCGATGTCAGGAGCCAGGTGCTTCTCCTGGTCTCCCATGGGCTGTAGGGCCCAAGCACTTGGGCCATCCTCTACTGCACTCCCGGGCCACAGCAGAGAGCTGGACAGGAAGAGGAGCGACCGGGACAGAATCTGGCGCCCCGGCCTCATTTGTACTTTTCAACACTTGTGCAGATTTGTCTTGTAGCCAACTGTAAAAGGAACACCATGCCGGCACCGCGGCTCAATAGGCTAATCCTCTACCTAGCGGCGCCGGCACCGCGGGTTCTAGTCCCGGTCGGGGCGCTGGATTCTGTCCTGGCTGCCCCTCTTCCAATCCAGCTCTGCTGTGGCCCGGGAGTGCAGTGGAGGATGGCCGAAGTGCTTGGGCCCTACACCCCATGGGAGACCAGGAGAAGCACCTGGCTCCTGCCATCGGATCAGTGTGGTGCGCCGGCCACAGCGCACTGGCTGCAGCGGCCATTGGAGGGTGAACCAAGGGCAAAGGGAGACCTTTCTCTCTGTCTCTCTCTCTCACTGTCCATTCTGCCTGTCAAAAAAAAAAAAAAAAAAAAAAAAAAAAGGAACCCCATCCCATGGAAAGGGAATTCTGGGAGTATAGTTCAACTTAGTTAACTTGACTCAGTACATAGAAATTATTATTCTATTTTAATTAAGTTCTTCTAGACAGTAAACTCCTTGAAATGAATGCCATACCAATTGCTTGTGTTGTATTTCTCTTATGGTACTTGGTCAGTAAACAATTATTTTTTGAGTGGTTCATTAAAGATGGGGCTTCTGACTGAAGATAGCACAATTCTCTGCATTCTGCTGCTAACATGGAACAGGGATATCCCACATCCAAATGCTGGCAGTAATCAGCATTGAGGCTTGCACAGTAAACTGACCTGAGGCTTGTTTGTGGCAGTGTGAACACTAGAAGCCAGCTAAGCCAGTTGCAAATCAGGACTTGTTTCAAAGTTGCACACAACAATTGATCCATGTAAATCAGAATTTCTGAGCTTGCTTTCTGTCCAGGCAAGATTTATGTTGGGATTTCTGGGTCTGGAAAAGGAATGTCCATTTCCTGAACCTGTTGTAGCAACAGGAGCATCAGATCATAATGTTGATTAAACATTATGTCTATGCCTGACGGTCTGTCTGCTCCAGGTGGAGCAGTGGATGAAGACAGGGCTGCAACCCTGAACATCTTCCAGCCGAGGCTGGGTTCTAGAGGTATCTTGAAGACTTTGCTCTGTCACTGACCAGGTTCATACTGAGTGGTCCCTTCCAGGGCTGGTCCCACAACCTCCTCCTTCCACCCCTTCCCCACATCAGCACTTATGGGGTTCCCAGGTTGGAAACTGTTTGGAGCCAAACAGCATTGTTTCTTTGTTGGATCCCGAATGCCTTTAGTGGTCTCATTCTCCTTTTTCTGTTACTATTCTCAAGGCTGTAAAGAGATGAAGAAAGACTCCTACCAAAATATTAGGGACACATGTTGTGTACTGCTTGATGTGTAACAAAGATAAGCAAGGTTTAGGGCTTCCAGAGAGTGTTTTGGAATGTTGTTGTGAACTATTTCATATTTCCCTTGTTGAGTTTATTCTTGTTGCTTCTTTGCCTTTTTTTTTTTTTCTTGTAAAAGGGGAAAAGGCATTAATGTATACAAACCAGAAAGTGTCACACATGTTTATTGAAGCCCACTGGGTGGAAGGCACGGTGGGGCCTTGAGAGTATACATTGTATAGCTTTTGAGGACCCCGTGTTTGCGGCAGATAACCAGACACGTGGTCTACTGTGGCCGAAGTGTGATTGCAGCTGGCCTTGAATGCATGCCCTTTCTGCTGTAATGAGCAGAGAGTAGCATCAAAGGAGAATCACTCAGAACTTCCAAGTTCCCTGTCTAGAAGCTATCTCTTGGTTGTTTCCAGTCTTTGGGAAGTAAGATTGAGGATTGTGTGACATTGTGACCATATAAGTGTTGTTATTATGAAGGTTATTAAGCTCTTACTGTGTGCCAAGCCACATGCCAAAGACTTTCTGTGCATTTCATAACCCTGGAGCTACCCTTTGAGATTGAGAATATCAGGAATGTTAATTTAGGAAACAGAGTCTCAGAGAAGTTAAGTAAGGTGCCAAAGATGTCACAGCCAGTGGGTGGAGGAGAGTGGGACCACAGAACCTGCAGGCTCAACTGCTTGTGTTGTTGCTGTGAAACTGTTCCAACTAATAAAATGTGTCTGTGTTTCGCATCTATACAGGCAGAAATCCCGTTGATATCATGATCTTTCCCAGAGCCAAGCAGGAAAAGCGTTTAATTTATAGCTTAAATTTTTAAAATTTATGTTCCCCTCTTTCCTCTAAAAATATCATTACTGTGGACTAAATGCCAGTAGACATAATTGAAAAACTTACATGAGGGGCCAGCGCCATGGCGCACTAGGTTAATCCTCTGCCTGCATCGCAGGCATCCCATATGGGTGCCAGTTCTAGTCTGGGTTGCTCCTCTTCCAGTCCAGCTCTCTGCTGTGGCCCAGGAAGGCAGTGGAGGATGGCCCAAGTCCTTGGGCCCTGCACCCGCATGGGAGAGCAGGAAGAAGCACCTGGTTCCTGCCTTCGGATCAGCACAGCTCCAGCCGTTGCAGCCATTTGAAGAGTGAACCAAAGGAAGAAAGACCTTTCTCTCTCTCTCTCTCTCTCACTCTCTCACTGTCTGTAACTCTACCTGTCAAATAAATAAATAAAATCTTAAAAAAAAAAGAAAAACTTATATGAAAGACTGGAATATTACTACTTTATATTATCTTATGATTACAGAGATATATTTCTATCTAGAACCTACCTGGCATAGAAAGATTTTATAATCTCCTGGTTAGAAGTAAATTACTGGTCCATTTAAATCATCTGTGTGCTCATCAAAGTACCTGTTCTAGAACCTCACGCCAGGGATTCTGATGAAACCGATGGTTGGGTGCAGATATCTGCTGGCTGCCATCTGCATACCATCTTCTCAGTGCTGAGATGGGCCTGGGAGAGCTTTAGTGTCTATCATTTCTAATGTGTAAAGCCAGAATTTCTTGAATAATTCCCTTTGAGTTCTCTCCTATCCTAAGTTTTTTGCAAATCACCTTTGTATTACTAGTTCTTAGAAGAATTATTCTCTAATAGCGATTATGATAATAAAGGATGAGTTTACTTTGATGCTAAGTGCTTCTAGAGGAACAATCCCACTCATTGACCACATTGATTGGGTACCTATTTATGCAGTTTTTACAAAACAGGAAATTGCTATAATCGGTATAGGGTAAAAGTCCCCAACAATTACAGGGAGATTGCAGCCTTCAAGACTTGTACTCCACAGTAAATGTCCTGTTAATCCTTGCTGGTTACTACAGAGTTTTCTGGTGATTATAGCAAAAATATGTATTTATTCTATCCAATTTGTATTTGCATGAGGTTTTGTGATGAGTGCAGAAAGTTGTATAAAATCCAGCCCTTGTGTAGAGCAACTTGTTTGACATTGCTTTGGCCTGCAACAACTAGGTATGGTCACAAACTGTCAATTTTCCATGAGTAATTTATGTGTCCTTAAAAGCAACACACATTTGAAAGCAAAACAATATCAAGGGTGAGAGTTTCTGTTAAGACACATGCTTCCTATCTCTTCTCCTTTCCATGTGCCTCGGAGTATCTTTTTGCTTCTTATTACAAAGTTGCAGGAGCCTTTTTGTAAAAAGAGTCACAAAGAGTGGAAACCAGGTGACTGCAAATGCCTTCCCCAGTTCCCTCCCTGTGACATCTCATGACTGTTCCTGCCCTCAGTCTACTATCTGTGCCTGTTATATGGGATAGTCTGCTATCAGGGGTCATCCAACAAGGCTCTCAGCCCCAAGACTGAACACTCACTGGGCTGATACTTACGTTTAAGAGAAATGCCAGAGTCCTCATTGGCATCTGTTCATTGCAAAGGAAACAGAGGCTTCAGAGGAACCCACCCTGTGCTGGCCTCGAGCTTTTTTTTTTTTTTTTTTTTTTTTTTTTAAGATTTATTTTATTTATTTGAAAGAGTTACAGAAAGAGACAGAGAGAGAGAGAGAGAGAGAGAGAGAGAGAGAATCTTCCATCTGCTGGTTCACTCCCCAGATGACCACAATGGCTGGAGCTGTGCCGACCTCAAGCCAGGAGCCAGGAAATTCTTCCGGGTCTCCCATGTGGATGCAGGGGCCCAAGGACTTGGGCCATCTTCCACTGCTTTCCCGGGCCTCAGTATACACAGGGGTTTGATGTGAAGCAGCTGGGACAGGAGCCAGCTCCCATCATAGCTGTTGGTGTAACCTACTATACCACAATGCTGGCCCCTAATGATTCTTTAATCACATAAATCTTTCTTTTCCTGTATCACACGTTGGCTAAATATTAATATCCCAGAGTTTGCTCTTTCAGACATTGCTAAGGTGAAAAAGAAACTTGTGTGGGTGAAGGGAAATGTATCAGACAGACACTTAGGGATGGGAGTTTGGTGCTTTAGTTGGGCATCTGCTTAGGACATCCCATCTGGAGTCCCTGAGTTCAAATTCCAGCTCTGCTTCCAGTCCAGCCTTCTGCTGATGCACATCCCAAAAGGCAGTAGGTGATGGCTCAGATACTTGTTCCTGCCACCCAGATAAGAGACTTGGTCTGCTAATGTGCCTGGAAAGCAGCAGAAAATGGCCCACGTACTTGGGCCCCTGCCACCCACAAGAAGAACTGGATAAAGCTCCTGACTTCAGACCATTCCAATTCTGGGTGTTGCGGCCATTTGGGAAGTGAACCAGCAGATGGAAGGTCTCTGTCTCTTACTTTTCTCAATAAATCTATTCAAATAAATAAGTAAACTTTTTAAATTTCCTAAATAGCCATAAATCACTGTCTTGTAAAACCAAGGTAAACAGCCTCCAGGGTTAAAATTTTTGAAAGCGAAATGCAATTTTAAGAAAGGAAGTTGTCCTTTTAAACTAAAGTGTTGATTTTGCTAAAATTTTAAATTTAATTTCTGTTAAATGTCTTCAACCAGTTTGGCAGACTAAAACTTCAGAGTTTATAAATGTAAATAACTGAAGGTGCTATATTCTCATTTTTTAAGAAATGTTAATCTTTAGAAATTAACAACCCTTCCTTTGCAGAGCAAATATTTCTTTTTTTTTTAAAATAAAGATTTATTTGTTCATTTGGAAGGGAGTTACAGAGAGAAAGAGAAAGAGGAAGAGACAGAGAGATCTTTTAGTTGCTGGTTCATTCCCCCAATGTCCACAATAGCCAAGGTTGGACTAAGCTGAAGCCAGGAGCACCAGGAGCTTCATCTGGGTCTCCCACACTGGTGGGAGCATTTGGGCCATCTACCACTGCTTTCCCAGGTTAATTAGTAGGGAGCTGAATCAGAAGTGGAGCAGCCGGGACATGAACCTGCTCCTGCATGGGATTCAGCACTGCAGGCAGGAGCTTAGCTGGCTGTGCCACGGTGCTGGCCCCGCTAGATGTTTCTTAATAGAGTCCTTATTGGGAGGAAGATGAAAGCTGTGCAACTCATTGCATAAACAGATATAGAAATAAAAATGAAAAAAGGCAAAGTTGAAACATTTTACAAAAGTAGAGAAATAAAAATCAAGGCTCTCCTTAGGTGTCTTTAAGCCATAAAACATAGCTACTATGAAAGGCACAATGTGGTAAAGTTGACACTCACAAGGAAATTGCCTAAAGTTCACAGGAAAAGAGTTTTATTAGCAACTCTAGCCTCTTCTGTTTTTCTCCCATCTGATAATGAACTTGAACTTTTCCTTCACTAATTGTTTAGATGCAACACAGATGTCTGTCAGAATATGACTGGCTAGGAACTATATGCCATAGCTTGTGCAAAGTCTAATATTCTCCCTGTGATTACAAGGAGTTCTTGGAGATTTAATTGTTGATTGCCCAGCTTCAAAAACCCGTTCCTCTTGCATTAGTTTTGTTTTGTTTTTATTTTCTTTTTAAAAAACTTTTATTTAGTAAATATAAATTTCCAAAGTACGGTTTATGGATTACAATGGCTTCCCCCGCCCATAACGTCCCTCCCACTCGCACCCCTCCCATCTCTCTCTCCCTCTCCCTCTCCCATTCACATCAAGATTCATTTTCAATTGTCTTTATATACAGAAGATCAATTTAGTATATATTAAGTAAAGATTTCATCAGCTTGCACCCACACAGAACATAAAATGTAAAATACTGTTTGAGTACTAGTTATAGCATTAATTCACATTGGACAACACATTAAGGACAGAGATCCTACATGAGGAGTAAGTGCACAGTGACTCCTGTTGTTGACTTAACAATTTGACACTCTTGTTTATGGCGTCAGTAATCTCCCTAGGCTCTAGTCATGAGTTTCCAAGGCTATGGAAGCCTTTTGAGTTCACCGACTTCGATCTTATTTAGACAAGGTCATAGTCAAAGTGGAAGTTCTCTCCTCCCTTCAGAGAAAGGTACCTCCTTCTTGTTTTTGTTGCTAGCTTCTCTTCCAGCTTGCTGCCCTTGTCCCCGCCCAGAGGTGCACCTGTGACCTGGAGTACAGGGCCACACCTTTCCCTCTCTTCCCATCCTCAGCCTTTCCTGCCCACACTTCTCCAGTCTGGTATGCAGAAAGTGCAGCCGCACCACTGGCTCCCGCATTCGCTTAGACTCCCTCACTCTGGGGAACATTGTTACCTTTAAAATAAAATTTTTTCATGAATTCATTGATCTTAAATCTAAATATTATAGTTTTGTGGAATTATTCTGTATATTTTCTTTTTTTGTTAGCCTATCATGAGTTGAATACAAAGCAAGAATCTATACCAGCACAGTAAAATCACACATAAGGCAAAGACATTCCAGTGCCCATGTATCGTTATTTTGCTGTGAATGTGAAAAGGACACTGTACTATTTTTTTTTTTTTTTTGACAGGCAGAGTGGACAGTGAGAGAGAGAGACAGAGAGAAAGGTCTTCCTTTGCCGTTGGTTCACCCTCCAATGGCCGCCGCGGCCGGCGCACCGCGCTGATCCGATGGCAGGAGCCAGGAGCCAGGTGCTTTTTCTGGTCTCCCATGGGGTGCAGGGCCCAAGCACCTGGGCCATCCTCCACTGCACTCCCTGGCCACAGCAGAGGGCTGGCCTGGAAGAGGGGCAACCGGGACAGAATCCGGCGCCCCGACTGGGACTAGAACCCGGTTTGCCGGCGCCGCTAGGCGGAGGATTAGCCTAGTGAGCCGCGGCGCCGGCCTGGACACTGTACTATTTTTTATTGTCTTGCGTTGTGGTGGTTATCTCGAACCTTGTAGGACATACATCTGCAAAAATATTTCTGCACGCATCCTTAAAATATGCATCTCATCTATTCGTCTTCTTTATGAACTAGCTAATATTTCAAGGCACAGTGAACTTAGAGCCAGTCTTATCATTTATCATAGTTTTACATAACCATGTAGCTAATAGTATTCTGATGACTTTTCTCAGTTTGGGCCAAATTCTTGTCAGATCTGATTAAATTTGTTGTTGCCTTTACCTTGTGATTTGGGCTTTAAGCTTTAGCTCTGGGATTTCACATTGTTTGTCCTTGCATTGTGATTAATATATTTATTTTTGATTTTTTATTTATCTTCATCTTATTTGAAAGAGTGACAGAGAGAGGGAGAGACAGAAGCAGAAAGGGATCTTCAGTCTACTAATTGACTCCCCAAATGCCTGCAAAAGCCAGGGCTGGCACAGGCTGAAGCCAGGTGCCCAGAACTCCATCTAGGTCTCCCACGTGGATGGCAGGAAATCAAATACTTGAGCCATCATCTGCTGCCCTTCAGCATATGCATTTGCAGGAAGCTGGATCATAAGTCAAGTAGGGCCCAGCATTGTGGCATAGCAGGTAAAGCTGCTGCCTGCAGTGCTGACATCCCATGTGGATGCTGCTTGAAGTCCCAGCTGCTCCACTTCTGATCCAGCTCCCTGGTGTAATGTGCCTGGGAAAGTAGTGGAAGATGGCCCAAGTCCTTGGGGCCCTGAACCCATATGGGAGACCTGGAAGGAGCTCTTGGCTCTTATCTTTGGTCTAACCCAGCCCTGACCGTTGTGGCCATTTGGGGAGTGAACCAGTGGATAGAATCAATCAACCTCTCTCTCTCCCTCTCCCTCTCCCTCTCCCTCTCCCTCTCCTTCTCTCTCCCTCTCTTACCGCTCCTCCCCATCCTATAACTGTGTCTTTCAAATAAATAAAACTCAAACCAAGAACTCCAATACAGGATGCTGGCAAACCCAAGTGGCAACTTAACCACTGCACCAAATGCCTACCCCAATATTATCCTTGGTCTGTGAGTTCCTTGCATAAGTCTTTTTTTTTTTAACTTTTATTTAATGAATATAAGTTTCCAAAGTACAGCTTATGGATTACAATGGCTTCCCCCCACCCCATAACGTCCTTCCCACCCGCAACCCTCCCAACTTTCCCACTCCCTCTCCCCTTCCATTCACATCAAGATTCATTTTCGATTCTCTTTATATACAGAAGATCAATTTAGCATACATTAAGTAAAGATTTCAAAGTCTTGTTCATTTTAGGTTTTTTTTTTTTTTTTAAGATTTATCTATTTATTTGAAAGTCAGAGTTACACAGAAAGGAGAGGCAGAGAGAGAGAGGTCTTCCATCCAATGGTTCACTCCCCAATTGACCGCAATGTCCAGAGCTGTGCCGATCTGAAGCCAGGAGCCAGGAGCTTCTTTCGGGTGTCCCACATGGGTGCAGGGCCCAAGGACTTGGGCCATCTTCCACTGCTTTCCCAGCCCATAGCAGAGAGCTGGAGCGGAAGTGGAGCAGCTGGGTCTTGAAACGGCGCCCATATGGGAAGCCAGTGCTTCAGGCCAGGGTGTTAACCTGCTGCGCCACAGCGCCAACCCCTTTTTTAGGGTTCTTTTAATTTAAAGGTACATATGAGGGTAGTTTTAGAAAGTTCATGGAAAACGGAGTTAATGAAGTTCTATTTTAGTGCAAAAATAGTTTGATATCAATGCATAGTTTCTTTACAGTATGCATATTCCATGAGCTTTTGAAGAGTCATTGTATTAGTGTCTGTACATCAACTTGGCAGGCCATCACTGTAAATTTCAGTGCAATCAAAGAGAAGTAATGGAGAGAGCAAGCCCCATGTCCCTTGTATTATGGAAATCCCACTGGAGCATCTCTGGAAGGGACCCTTATTCATACTGAATGCTGACACTGTGCCAACCCAGAGGGTAACACCAGCCAAAATGTTTTCCTTTTTTTTTTAAATGTAAATGGAGTTTCCTGTATTTTCTTCCCATAGTCCAATTAATTGTATCTACATAAGTTTCATAACTTATGAGACAATGTTGATAAAATTTTTTTGTTATTTAAATCTTTTTTTTTTTTTTTTTTTTGACAGGCAGAGTTAGACAGTGAGAGAGAGAGACAGAGAGAAAGGTCTTCCTTCCATTGGTTCACCCCCCAAATGGCTGCTACAGCTGGTGCGCTGCACACTGATCCAAAGCCCAGAGCCAGGTGCTTCCTCCTGGTCTCCCATGCAGGTGCAGGGCCCAAGCACTTGGGCCATCCTCCACTGCCCTCTCGGGCCACAGCAGAGAGCTGGACTGGAAGAGGAGCAACCAGGACAGAATCTGGCGCTCCAACCAGGACTAGAACCCGGAGTGCCAGTGCTGCAGGCTGTTATTTGAATCTTAACCTCATATTATGACTTATCAATTTTGTTTTGTATATTTTTTTTGTTCACTCAGTTTTTAGGCTAGAGCCCAGCTGTTGCTTCTTGCAGCATTGTATAGTTTCACCAGTGTTTTGCACACAGTAGGTGAGCATTAATAATGCATGTAGAGAAAAAAAATAATGCATGTAGAGAAGCAGGTATTTAGTAGCAGTTAAGGTGCCTGTGTTCCATACTGTAACAAACTGGTTTGATTCCCTGCAGCAGCTCCTCACTCCAGCTTCCCATTAATGCAGACCCTGGGAGGCAGCAATCATGGCTTAAGTAATTGGGTTCCTGTCACCCTTGTGTGAGACCTAGATTGAGGCTGTGGTACAGATGTTGTGTGCTTTTGGGGAGTAAACCCCAGAAGGGAGTTGTGTTATTTCTTTTCTTTCTTTCTTTTTTTAAGGTTTATTTATTTATTTGAAAGGCAGAGTTACAGAGAGGCAGAGAGAGAGAGAGAGAGAGAGAGAGAGAGGTCTTCCATTCGCTGGTTCACTCTCCAGATGGCTGCAACAACTGGAGCTGCACCAATCCAAAGCAAGGAGCCAGGAACATCCTCCAAGTCTCCCATGTGGGTGCAGGGGCCCAAGGACTTGGGCCATTTTCTACTGCTTTCCCAGGCCTTAGCAGAGAGCTGGATCAGAAGTGGTGCAGCTGAGACTTGAACTAGTGCCCATATGGGATGCTGGCACTGCAGGCGGAAGCTTTACCCACTATGCCACAGTGCCAGCGCTGCTCTATTTTTTTTCTCGCTCTCACTTGCTCTTGTTCTCAACCTCCCTATCCTCCACTCCTCAACAAAAAATTTTAAAAAGGGCCTTAAATATATATATATATATATATATATTTCACTTTATTGTTAGTTTTTCTGAGACTGGGTGTTATTTATATGTGTGTGTGTGCGCGCGTGTGTGTGTGTGTGTGTGTATCTGATTTTTCTTTTTGGTACTCTGAACAAATTGGTTGGTTGGGCACTATTAGTTTATTGCCTTTTATTTATATTATCTAAATGGAGTGTCTCTTATTATCATACTGTTTATTTAAGCTGTAGTGTCTAATTTGCATGGTTCATTTCTGTTTTGCTATCATTTAGCTCTTTAGCCTTTCAATTCAGTATGTTGTTGTTACTGATTGATGGGACATTCTTTTTATTTCATCACATATGGCCGTGGTAACAGTGTTGGTTTTGCTGTGTTCCAGTCCCGTCTGGGGCACTGTCATATACCCCTATGATAAAGTAGATTGGATAGTCTGGCCCTGAGGATTAGGGATCACAAGAGAGAGTCAGCATGATATGTAAATAGATCTATGAAAAGGAATTAATAAACAGTAAGGGGAAGAGGCTCACATGATTATGACACAACAGGTCATCTGCAGGCCGGAGACCCTGGGATGCCAGGTAGCATGTCTCGGTCCAAGTCCGAAGGCCTCAGAACCAGGGAAGGTGAGGATGTGACTCTTAATTTGAAGGTGGAAGCCTTGTACCCAGTAAGGGGGCCACTGCTGTTAAGTCCTGGAGTCCAAAGGTCAGCAAGCCTGGGGTTTTGATGTCCAAAGCTGGAGATGATGTGTCCCAGTTCTCCGAGCAAAGGACCAGTCCCCTCTCTATATTTATTCTCTGCAGACCCTCAGCCAGTCAATGGTGCCCTCAGTTGAGGGCAGGTCTTCCTCACCCAGTCTACTCAGATTCACGTGCTAGTCTGTTCTGAAAAGACTCTCACAGAAACACCTTTCCTGAGTTTCTGGATGTTCCTTAATCCAATCAACACCTAAAATTAACCATCACAGGCAAACTGGGTAAATTCCTGGTCCTTGAAGGATGGAAGGAGTGTGGTATTGCTGCCTTTCATTGGGTTATTGATGCCACATTGACAAGATGTCCATAAATGAGCTTCACTAACTATTCCTAGGGAAGTCTCTAGAAGTAGCGAAAGGCAGCAACAGCTAGCTGTTCCCTTCCAGAGAGGAGCTGAATCATTGCCTTGTCTAAACAGAAGAGCGTCTTCAACCTGCTGCATGCCAGCATCTCTAGGAAGTCTACAGAAATGCTCAAGTCCACTAAAATATCTGGGGTAGGACCAGGCACGTGTATTATTAGGGGCTCCACAAATGATCTCATTGTAAAGTCAGGGATTTGTCTTGACCTGTAACACTAGTGAGCTGAGTCAGTAGAAAGAAAATGAAAAATGAGAGACTCAGTAAAGGTAAAGTAGACTCAACAGTGCCTAAAGAAGTTACTTGGTGTAACTGGAAAATGTTGGGAAAAGATGGAACAATTCCATAGCCTCATGTTGAGGTATAACAGAGGGTAACAGATATATCACTTCCCTTGTCTGCTTACTGATGACACAGGCCAAAGGTTAAGGTATTGGCAGAGAAAACCAAAGGTATACAAATCAATCCAAGAATGTCTGAAGGGCTTTGAGGCCTTTTGACTTTGGAAGTTTGTTGACAAACAGCTGTAATCTTAGATGATTGTTTAGGGGCATTTTTACTAAGATATTAATTACTTAGATACTAATTACATTTTACTTACATATTAATTATTCACACTTGCATTTGAGTGCTCTCAGTTGGTCTAAGCATGCTTGTACCTTATAAGGAAATCTTATAATTAAAAGCTTTATTTGGTTTTAGAGATGTGTCAGGGCTCCTGGTTTCACCAAGAAAGAATCTGTCTTAATCTGTGCTACTCCTGATCTTTTATCGCATGTTGCCTTGCTTATTTTGAGCCCATGGGAAGGAGTCTTCCTTTCTCTTTATAGTTACAAGGTCTGGTGAAGCATCTGACACTCTGTTAAGTACTGATTGAGTATTTGCCAGTGATGCCTGCCAATTCTGCTTTTGTTGTAGGAAGCAGTTCAAGTATTGATCAAGCACTCGGCTGATGTCAACGCGAGGGATAAGAACTGGCAGACCCCTCTCCACGTGGCAGCAGCCAATAAGGCCGTCAAATGTGCAGAAGTAATCATTCCCCTGCTGAGCAGTGTCAATGTCTCCGACCGAGGGGGACGTACGGCTTTGCACCATGCAGCTCTGAATGGCCATGTGGAGGTGGGTGTTTTTATCATTAGAAACTGGGGGACTCTCCACAGACTCTCTCAGCCACAAGTAGGGCCCGATCTTATTGTTAACATTTTTAGAAAATGTGATGATAACGTTTATATACAAGCCCATAGGCAATGATATTCATTCTTAAAGTGTAGAGCCACCATGGATTGATAAAGGAGTTTTCTCATCTGACACACCTGCCGCAGTCTGCAGTGACATCATCTTGCTACTTGGTTAGAACTCCAGCTCTCTGACCTGCTTTTTGATTCCATGTGAATTTGGCTCGGATCACCTGCAGGCAGTGAGGAGCCCATCACAGAATTGAGTGCTTGATTTCATTGTTGGTTATCTTTCAGATGGTCAATTTGCTCTTGGCCAAAGGGGCAAACATCAATGCATTTGACAAGAAGGACCGGCGTGCTCTGCACTGGGCAGCATATATGGGTAAGGATTCTATGCACGGAAAGCAAAGTGTAGGTAAACTTAACCTAACAAGATGTGGGTGTCTTCATGGATTGTGTAGGTGTTCTCTGGGGGCAAGACTGACTTCTTTCAAGCTTAGGTTCCAAATTAATGAAGATCCAGTCCATTTGATTGGCATAGGTAGAGCACTCTCATTGGGCAAAGCTTTGTCAGAAATTGATTTAGCCTGCGAAGAGGAGGGGAGTGAATCATGGCCTGGACCTCTTTGAATGTGCCGCAAACTGGATTGAAGAGCTGCACACACTGTGCTTATTTTAACTTGTTATGGCAGCAAAAATTAAGATGACTGGTTCAGAAAACAAAGACACTAATTCCATTTGTCTTTTTACTCAAATATTTTTGAAAGAAACAAAAAGGAAGGAAGAGAGGACAAACCCGGGCTGTTTCACAGATGGAAGTGACCAGCGTCACCGTGGTTTATCCTGTGTTCCACTGCCCACAAAGCTGGTGCTTGCAGTCTTCATTTTTGCCCCTTCAGTGGGAGACTGAAGGAAGAGGTTACATTTCTGTTTTTCCTTTTTGTTTTTGTGGGCACAAGTAACACTGCCAGATGATAGGCCTCACAGACTTATTCTCAGGGTAGACTTAGAGGAAATGAACTACCAGCGTCTGAACTTTATGTTTCTGATGGAAGAGCATCCTGCCATTAGAAAAGAAGACAGAATTCTATCAGCATCGAGTTGCAAAACCCTGAGTGCCCATCCACAGGACTGGAAGAGCTACACAGAGAGACACTCTGCAATAAGCAGTGATGTCATCCCTGGGTGTTTATTAACATAGGAGGATCTGTGATATGTTAAGTGAAAACAGATCATAATAATAAACAGCTTAAATAATATGATCCTCATTTTGTAAAACAGATCTGTATAGTGAAAGCAAATGTTGAAAATGTTGTATACCGCCGGCGCCACGGCTCACTAGGCTAATCCTCCGCCTTGTGGCGCCAGCACACCGGGTTCTAGTCCCGGTCGGGGCGCTGGATTCTGTCCCGGTTGCCCCTCTTCCAGGTCCTGCACCCCATGGGAGACCAGGATAAGTACCTGGGACTTGAACCAGTGCACAGATGGAATGCTGGTTCTGCAGGTGGCAGCATTACCTGCTACACCACAGCACTGGCCCCTGCCCATTTCTTAACTGCATTTTTGTTGTTGTTGTTGTTGAGTTTCTTGAGCTCTTTATAGATTCTGGATATAATCTTTTTATCAGTTTCATAGTTTGCAATATTTTCTCCCATTCTTGGGATTGCCTCTGCACTTTGCTTCTGTGTTTCCGTTGCAGCACAGAAGCTTCTCAACTGGATGTAATCCCACTTGTCAATCTTAGCCTTGATTGCCTGTGCTTCTGGGGTCTTTTCCAAGAAGTTTTTGCCTAATGCTAAAGTCTTGTAGAGTTTCTCCAATGTTCTCCTTTAGTAATTTGATAGTACCAGGTCATAGATTCAGATCCTTGACCCATTTTTAGTTGATTTTTGTGTGAGATGTAAGGTAGGGGTTGTGTTTCATACTCCTGCCTGTGGAGATCCAGTTGCCCTGCACCATTTGTTGAAGAGACTGACCTTTCTCCAGGGATTGACTTTAACTTCTTTGACAAAGATTAATTGGTTATAGATGTGGGGATTGATTTCTAGAGTTTCTATTCTGTTCTGTTGGAATGCATGCCTATTTTTTTTTTTGCCATTATCAGATTGTTTGGATTATAACCGCCCTGTAATATGTCTTGATATCTGGTATTGTGATGCATGTGAGCTTTGTTTTTGTTGTTTAAGATTACTTTAGCTATTCAGGGTACTTCTGTTTCCATGTGAATTTTAGCATTGTTTTTTCTAGATCTGAGAAGAATGTTGTTGGTATTTTGATTGAGATTGCATTGAATCTATAAATTGTTTTTGGAAGTATTGATATTTTGATGATATTAATTATTTGAATCCATGAACATGGAAGATTTTTCCATTTTTTTGTGTCTCTCTTTCTTCAAAGCTTTGTAATTTTAATAGTACAGATCTTTCACTTCCTTGGTTAAATGCATTCCAAGACTTTTAATTTTTTCTGTAGCAATTGAGAATGGAATTGATCTTTTTTTAAATTACCTTTTATTTATTTATTTATTTTTATATTTATTTTATTTGAGAGTTAGAGTTACAGACAGTGAGAGGGAAAGAGAAAGAAAGGTCTTACTCCATTGGTTCACTCTCCAAGTGGCCACAACGGCTGGAGCTGCCCTGATCTGAAGCCAGGAGCCAAGTGCGTCTTCCTGGTCTCCCACGTGGGTGCAGGGCCCAAGCACTTGTGCCATCTTCTACTGCTTCCCCAGACCATAGCAGAGAGTTGGATTGGAGGAGGAACAGCCGGGACTAGAACTGGCGCCCACATGGGATGCCGACGCCGCAGGCAGAGGATTAACATTGTCTGTTTTTACACAGGCTATAGATTTTTGTTAATTTTTTGTTAATTTTAGGTCCTGCCACTTTAATGAACTCTCTAATGAGTTCCAGTAGTCTCTTTTGAGTTTTTTGGTTCCCCTATATATAAAATCATGTCATCTGCAAACAGGGATAGTTTGACTTCCTCCTTCCCAATTCGTATCCCTTTGATTTCTTTTTCTTGCCTAATGGCTCTGGCTGAAACTTCCAGGACTATATTGATTAGTAATGGTGAGAGTGGGCATCTAGTCTGGTTCCAAATCTTAGTGGAAATGATTCCAATTTTTCCCCATTTGATAAGATGCTGACTTTGAGTTTGTCATAAATTGCCTTGATTGTGTTGAGGAATGGTCCTTCTATACCCAGTTTGCTTAAGGTTTTCATCATGAAAGGATTTTGTATTTTATCAAATGCTTTCTCTGCATCTATTGGGATAATCATGTGGATTTTGTTATTCAGTTTGTTAATGTGATATATCACATTTATTGATTTGCAAATGTTGAACCATCCCTGCATACCAGGGATAAATCTGATGTGTTGTTGGAATTGATGAGTTAGTAGTATTTTGTTGAGGATTTTTGCATCTATGTTCAGGAGGAATATTGGTTTTTAGTTCTCTTTCTCTGTGTCTTTCAGTTTAGAAATTAAGGTGATGCTGGCCTCACAGAAGGAGTTTGGGAGGATTCCTTCGCTTTCAGTTGTTTTGAAAAGCTTGAGAGGAATTGGAATTAATTCTTCTTTAAAAGTCTGGTAGAATTCAGCAGTGAAGCTATCGTTCCTGGGCTTTGTCTTGGTTATTGGTCCGTTTATGTTTTCTGTGTCTTCATGACTCAATGTTAGTAGATTGTATGTGTCCAGGAATCTATCCGTTTCTTCTAGGCTTCCCAATTTATTGGCATTTGGCTCTTTTCTTTGTAATAATTTCTGATGATTCTTTTTATTTCTTTATCTATTTTTATATTTCCTTTTTCATCTTTGATTTTATTAATTTGGGTCTTTTCCCTCTTGTTTTGGTGAGTTGGACCAATGATGTATCAATCTTGTTTGTTTTTTCAAAAACCAGTTCTTCATTTCACTGAACTTTTGTATTTTTGCGAGGGGCTCAATCTTGTTTATTCTCTAATTTTATTTCTTTCCTTCTACTAATTTTTAGTTTGGCTAATTTTTTTCTAGGTCCTTAAGATGCATTGATAGCTCATTTATTTGATTCCTTTCCAATTTCTTGATGTAGGTACCAGTTGCTATAAATTTCCCTCTTAGCACTGATTTTGCTATATCCCATAAGTTGTATTGTCATTTCCAGAAATTTTTTATTTCTTCTATGACCTGTTCATTCAGGGGCATGTTGTTCAGTCTCTGTGTGTTCTAGAGATTTTTGAATTGTTAATTTCCAGCTTCATTGCATTGTGGTCAGAGAAGATGGCATGGTTTGATTTCAGTTTTTTTTAATTTGCTGAGACTTGCTTTATGGCCTAGTATCTGGTCTGTCCTAGAGAACATCTCATGCACTGATAAAAATAATGGGTATTCTGCAACTGTGGGGTGAAAAGTTTTTGTAGATATCAGTTAGGTCCACTTGGTCTATAGTGTAGATTAGCTCTGTTGTTTCTTTGTTGATTTTCTGTCTAGTTGATCTGTCCATTGATGAAAGTGGGATGTTGAGGTTCCCCATTACTATTTATACCAGCGTATTAGCCTGTCTCCTGAGATTTGTGACTGGGTGATTTTGGTTTCCTTTTAACTTACTTTTTTTCCCCCCTGAATCCTTTCAAACAAGCATACATGGTTTTTATAATCACTTTAAAAATTAGCATAGGGACAAGCATTTAACCTTGAGGTAAGATGCTGTTTAGGATGCCTGTGTCCTGCATTGCAGTACCCGGGTCTGATATCTGGCTCTGATTCCTGCCTCTAGCTTCCTGTTAATTAGACCCTTAGAGGCAACTGTGATGGCTCAAGGAATTGGGTTCCTGCCACCCACATGGGACACCTGGACTGAGTTTCTTGCTCCTGGCTTCAGCCAGGCCCAGCCTCAATCTTCACAGGCATTTGGGGAAATGAACCAGTAAACAGGACTTGTTCTCTCTCCCTTTCCCTCCCTTTCTTCCTCTGCTTTTCCCTCTCCCTCTCCATCTCAGTCACTCAAATAAATACATATTTAAAAATTAAAATTATCATTAATTGTAGGGAGAGAACAAACAGATTAGGGTAGGGCTGAAATAAATTATGTGGCTGTAGATGGGTTTGAGTGAATCCTTGGGCTTAAAAAATCCAAGAATCTTAAAATTTTATTAGCATTTGATTGTTTTTAAATATTTATTTATTTTGCTTGAAAGTCACAGTTACACAGAGAGAAGGAGAGGCAGAGAGAGAGAAAAAGAGAGAGAGAAAAAGAGAGAGAGGTCTTCCATCCTCTGGTTCACTCCCCAGATGGCTACAACGTTCAGAGCTGCACTGATCCGAAGCCAGGAGCTTCTTCCAGGTCTCCCATGCTAGTGCAGGGACCCAAGGATTTGGGCCATTTTCTACTGCTTTCCCAAGCCACAGCAGATAACTGGATCAGAAATGGAGCAGTCAGGACTAGAAACAGCACCCATATGGGATGCTGGCACTGCAGACGGCAGCTTTACCCGCCAGGCCACAGCACTGACCCTGGCCCCGGCAATTGGTTTCAAAAGCATTGCTTTTATTTTTTTTTTAAGGTTTATTTATTTATTTGAAATGCAGAGTTAGAGAGAGGGGGAGAGAGAGAGAGATCTTCCCTCTGTTGGTTTATTTCCCAGTGGCCACAATCGACAGGGCTGAGCCAGGCCAAAACCACGAGCCAGGAGCTACTTCCAGGTCTTCCACATGGGTGCAGCGGCCCAAGCACTTGGGCCATCGTCTGCTGCTTTCTCAGATGCATTAGCAGGGAACTAGATCAGAAGTGGAGCAAGGGGGACACAAACCCAGTGCCCACGTGGGATTCCAGTGTGGCAAGTGGTAGCTTAACCTGCTATACCACATGTCGGCCCTTTTGCTTTCATCTTAACACAAATAGTTTTTGGCTGTGTTACTAACACATTAGCAGAACCTCATTATTATTTGTTGACTTGCTGACAGTTGTCTTGTCTGCTAGATCTCTTTCAAGAGAAGACTCACTTGTAGGTCATCGTTTTTTTCTTCCCAAGGTATTGACAGGATGTCTGACACATAGTAGGTACACAATAAACATTTGTTGAATAGTCACCATGAACCCACTTTTTATAAATAGCTAATGGTGATAATTTAGGTGAAATGCATTGTCTAACTGTCCTGTTAAGGTTAACGATGTTTTCTGCTGCTGTCTGTGTCAAGGCCACCTGGATGTTGTAGCCTTGCTCATTAACCATGGCGCAGAAGTAACCTGCAAGGATAAGAAGGGTTATACTCCCCTGCATGCCGCAGCCTCCAACGGACAGATCAACGTCGTCAAGCACCTGCTGAATCTGGGGGTTGAGGTGAGCTGCGATTAATACATCATTGCACGGCCTGTGTGTATGTGTGTGTGCGTTTTCTCTGCTCTGAAACTAAATCCTGTTTGCATTTTAATCAAACAGGGAAATGTATTCTCTAGCCTCCTGTGTTTTTGAGTTCACTTGGGCAGCTGAGACCAGACAATGGGCGCATAGACTAAGTATTGGAAAACCGGTAACAGACTGACCCTATATATCCACACTGATAGAGGAACACATAAATAGACATCTTCCGTGTAATGCATTATCCAATCAATGACTGGCTAGAGTTTGCTGAGTTACCCTCAGATTCTAGGCTTTGAATTCACATCACACAGCAAGAATGAATGAATGGATAACAGGAACGAACAGAAGTGTGTGACGTTGAGCTGAGCAGTTGGCCTGTCCCCCTTCTCCTTCAGTGAGCACAGCAGGGGCAGTGGTGAGACTGCCACATTCTGCTCCTGGACAGGAGAAGCAGTGGCTGTGCTGAAGCAGCGTGGTGACACTCAGCACCCAGGGCAGGTCGCAGAACAGCAGGGAGCCGTGGACTAAGCCTACCTCCGGGCAGCACCACTGCCCCGCTCCTGGAATAGGCTTCAGAGCAAACTCAGAGTGGGTTCTGAGCCTTAGTAGTGCTAAGGTCCACAGCCCTCCCCTCCATCTCCCACCCTTCTGTATGTGCTCCCTGTGCCCAGCCTCGAGTTCAGGGCTCTGCTCTCGTCCCCTGATCGGCTCCTCTTCTGGTGTATTGAAAGCTGCTTGGCCTTTTGCCCTTTATCTGTTCTGTAGCTGACAAAAAAAAAAAACAAAAAACAAAAAACAAAAAAAAAAAAACCTCTCCATGGCATGAAACCTCTAACTCTTCCTCTCTAGGTTACTTTTTTGTCACATTCATTTTTTGCTGATCTTTACCTCTGGGTGACACGTGTTCCCAGGCTGAATGGCTGGGGCAAGAATCGGCTCCGAGTAATTATGTTGACAGATGGCTGTTTCCTTCTCTAACCAGGACCATTAGACTTTTTGTGGAAAATGGAGTAAATTGGCTCCAGTGATTTTACTTGCCCTGTGTTGGACTCTCTGCAGATTGATGAGATCAATGTCTATGGAAACACAGCACTTCACATCGCCTGCTACAATGGCCAGGATGCCGTGGTGAACGAGCTGATCGACTACGGTGCTAATGTGAACCAGCCGAACAACAATGGCTTCACCCCTCTGCATTTTGCTGCTGCCTCCACACATGGTGCTTTGTGTCTGGAATTGTTAGTAAACAATGGGGCGGATGTCAACATTCAGGTATGACCCTCTTCCTCTCTCCCTGTGCTTGAAACCTTTGCATTGAGCCTCTGAGCAAAAGCGGAAGCTAACGAGTATACCATGTCTTTTGACTTGTAACCCTGAGCGCCTTGGCTCACACAGTCTTATCCTGGCTATGGAAACAGCAGGTTGTTTATTCAGGTGTGGTGGTACCAGCTGCAAGGCTCTGAGGCTGCAGACCTGCGTCCCTGGTAATTTGGTGGATGCTCCAGGGCAAAGTCTGGGTCATAAGACTGTTGACTCATCTCAGACTGTAACACTGAACTGATAGGGCAGAGCTGCTGAGAACTCAAAGAAATCCTGACCAATGATCATGGGTCTGTTCCAACTCCAGCCTCACTCTCCAAGGAGTTTTCCAAATATTTTCAAACCTCAGATGGTGGCTTCAGTGATGTAGCACTGGCGTAGTCTTCATGATAGTCCTTCATCAAATTCACTAAGGTCTTAGTGCCCTCCGTGTGACACTGGAGGAGTCCTCCAAGAAGAACTAAGATCTCTGCCCTGCAGGAATTTACAGAGTGACGAGGAGACAAGTGCACTCATAATCCCGAGGTGGGAGGAATGGGAGGAGTGCCTGGAGAGAGTGAGAAAGCACCACGGCTACAACAAGCAAATGTTCACTTGCTTGCTGCTTGGTAACGAGAAATGGAGGTTGGTTTGGAGCTGAGACTTGGAAATTTATTGCAATTCAGATGAGGAGGGATAGAGGTAAGATGAGAGAAGGCAGTCCAGAGAGAGAACTGGGTGAGCAAAGCAGAGGGAGCTGTGGGTACATAGGCTCTTGGTGAGCATCTGGTAAGCACCTGGCTGGCCACCGTGGCTGACCAAGGGCAGTCTCGGCATGAAGCCTTCACAGTTTGGGTTATGTCACTTGAATGTGCCTGGACTGAGGCAGACTAATCTGACCCACACTAGCAAACCTTTCTCTTATCCTCAGCTTCTGCTTCCCTTCCTGAAGCAAGGTCCCAATTATCCTGTCTCTGATTTTGAAGAGATGATTTCTAAGATTTAATTTCAAAATACCACATCAGTCTACTTTAATGAATATCTCTTCTCTATTAAACCTTTTTACAATTTTTCTCATAATATCTAATAGTAAGGAAGTATGGGACACATTTTCAGGATAGCAGTTCATGTGGTTGAATATAAGTTATTTGAAAGACAGGCTAGAGACAGACAAGTGACACAGCTGCTAAGTCCCCACTTGGGACACCTGTATCCCAGGTCAGAGTGTCTGGTTCAAGTCCTGGCTGTTCCACTTCTGATCCTGCATTCTGCGATGTACACCTTGGAAAGCAGCAGGTGATGGCTCATTCACATGGAAGACTGGATTGAGTTCCTAGCTTCTGGTTTTTGTCTTGCTCAGCCTGGACTATTGCTGGCATCTGGGGAGTGAACCAGTAGATGGAAGATCTCTCTCTGTCTCTGTCTTTCTGCCTATCAAATACAATGGAGGAGGAAAAGAGGCTAAAAATAAGCTAAAATGTGACATGACCAAGGAAAATGGCTCATGTACTGGCTAAGGAGTTTGGGCTTCTATAGGCTGCAGGCACAACTAATCATTATAGAGGCCAGATGATCAGACTTGAGTATGAATGTGGCCACAGAACAGCAAGCACAGAAAACATACAGGGAAAAAAACTGTATGTATGACTACATAAAAATTCTAAACTTTTATATGACAAAAAATGACAAGAGGGTAGAAAAGATAAAACTATCATCAAACATTGAAATAGGAACAACTAAGGGAAATTTTTCTGCAATGTACATGACAAGCAAAAAGCTAATATGCTTAATATCTAAAGAGCTCATATAAATCCATAATAAAAATTTGGATAACCTATGAGAAAGTATAGACCAAGATGGAACACAAGAGAGAGAATACAATATTCATTAATCACATGGAAAAACATTCAATATCACTAGTAATAGAAAAATAAAAACTTATTTAAAATATATTTGCCTTTAAGATTGGCAAATAGCAAGAAGAATAACAAGTGGTTATTGATGAAAAAAATCACATTTTTTAATTTTAAAAAGTTATGTGGCCATGTATATGCATAGAAAGAGAGAAAAATATCAGGAGTTTACACCAATGTGCTAGCAACAGTTACCACAAAAGAGTGATAAAATTGTGATTTGGGTTTTTAGTTTCTTTTTTGTGTATTTGCTTATATCTTCTGACAGTTATGTAATGGGCATGTGTTATTTTTATAGCCCGAGGAAAACAAAGAACTGTTTTTATTTTGGATGAATGAAAATCCAGGTGTAGATGAAGAGAGGATAATGGCAAGTCAGAAAGATTGGTCTAGAGAAGAGGTTGTGAAGGCAGGGGGTGGGGAGGAGCCAACTGAAGGCAAGGCTTTGCAGAAAGCAATCAGTAGGACTTGACAAGACAAGAGGTGGAGACTGCAAGGTGAGTGGAAAGGTGGAAATCTGGCGAAGGGAGGTTCAGCGTTCAGTTCTGGGGCTAGACTGCCAAGATTCCTCTCCGAGCTGTGACTTGTAACAACTGTTTCGTCAGCCTCCCCCACCCACCCACTCCCTGGCTGTATGTCTCAGCTTTTAAAATTTTTGTTTGGTTTTAATTAATTAGAGAGAGAGGTGGCCTCCAGACACACACAATAGCCAAGGCTGGACTAGACACAGTGGGAGCAGGTAACTCAATCTAGGTCTCCCACAGAGATGGTAGGGACCCAACTACCTGAGGCATCACCTGTGGCCTCCTATAGTGCACATTAGCAGGGACCTGGAATTGGGGGCAGAGCTGAGACTCTAACTTATGTACTCCAGAAGGGGAGGCAAGCATCTTACCTGCTGTGCCAAATGCCTGTCCCTGCAGTTTTTTAAATCTGAAAATAACAGTATTTTCCTCATGGAACTGTTTAGAGAATTTATCAGTTTTTTGCATAGAAATTACATAAAACATCTGGCATATGGGAAGCACTTAATAAAAGAATATTATTAATATTCACTAAGAAGGCTAACAAAGGGGTTGGCGTTACGGTGCAGTGGGTAAGGCTGCCACCTGCAACACTGGCATCCCATAGGAGCACCAGTTGCTGTCCTGGCTGCCCCAGTTCTGATACAGCTTCCTGCTAATGCACATGAGAAAGCAGCAGCAGATGACCCAAGCGCTTGGACCACTGCCATCCACGTGGGAGACCTGAAAGAAGCATGGCTCCTGGTTCTGGCCTGGCGCAGCACTGACCATTGTGGCCATCTGGGGAGTGAACCAGCAGTTGGAAGAGCTCTGTCTCTCTTTGTCTGTCCCTCTCTGTCTGTGACTCCTTCAAAATAAAGAAATAAATCTCTTTTTTTATTTATTTGAAAGTCAGAGTTACACAGAGAAGGAGAGGCACAGAGAGAGAGAGAGAGGTCTTCCATCTGCTGGTTCACTCCCCCACTGCCCGCAGTGGCCATAGCAGAGAGCTGGGATCGGAAGTGGAGCAGCCAGGACTCAAACTGCCGCCCATATGGGATGTTGGCATTGCAGGCGGAAGCTTTACCCATTATATCACAGCACTGGCCTCAAAAATAAATCTTTAAAAAAAAGAATATGGGCAGGAAGAGTTGTCATAGGAGGGAAAACCTATAGGTCTACTTTCAGAGAAGCTGATTTTGAGCCCTTGTACAGCCAGTTTGAGAAACCTAATGGTGGGAAATGTGGTAGTGTAGCCAGGAAGAGCAGTCGGGAATAGGAGAAACAACTGAGGTTGCCTTACTTACATAAAGGTGGTAGTAGAAATTGGGAGAGAAGGATGAGCTCACCTTCAGAGAGACGCAGTAGCAGAAGGGAGGACTCCAGTGACCCCTTACTTGTAGGATCAGGAGGAGGAAATCCAGAGAAAAGGAGTCAGACAAGGTAAGGAGGAATGGAGGGAGAGACTTTTTGAAGGTGGAAAGCCGGCAGAAACAGAAAAACAGAGTAGGTGAAGCGAGTTTCAGAGTTCCAGATCTCCTAGGTGGAGCCAGCAAAGGACAGGTGAAGGTCTTTGTCCGTGTTGAGGAGCCCAAAGGTGGGAGTCTTCCGAGGTGGTCAAAGTCACAGGACAGGTTGTGAGGGGGCTGGGAGCCCACCGGTGGCCAAACAGTCAATGTCCCTCGGACGGTGAACATCGGTCCTGCCATCCTGGTGTCTGATGAATGTCCTGTGGATCCTTCAGAGGAAGGGAGATTCCTGCAGTTAAATAAAATGACTTCACCAGACCGCACTCACAGCATTGCCTGCTGTGCCCCCCCCCCCCCCCCCCAGGTGGAGGTTTTCGGGGATCCAAAGGCTGAGGGTAGAAGGGCACTCCCCGGGTCAACTGGCTAATTTTTTCAGAAAAATGAATAGGGGTCAGTTCAGATTGCATGGGGGACTTCACCTGTGCTCTCCTCTCCCACAGAAATGGACCTGGAAAACAGAGTTCCTTAACTTTAATTTTCAAGTAATTGAAAATAAAGAAATGCTGTTCTAAAAATCCGAAACTTGGGTTTATTTCCTTTACCCCCTCTTGTTAAAAGGGAATTTTGAAATCAGCTCTTGCCTTTCTTTCCTTCAGGCTTCCTTTTCATCTGCTCTGTGTGTAGCCTCTGGTTTCCTGCTTCCCTTAGGATCCTCTGTGGCTGTTCCAGATGCAGCCTGGGGGCCCGGCTCCTCCAGGGTCTCCGTGGAGCTGTCCTGTCTGACTGGAGGTAGCGCTCTAATTAAAGTTGCTCATCGTCCTGGAGCTTGGAGCTTGGAAGTGTTTGTAGATGCCAGACAATTTGTATTTGGTTAGATTTTTACAAAGTTTGAGGGAAATAGCCGATTGAAATGCAGCCAATACCCACCCACGTGTTCACTTTGTTTTTCTCTATTCTCACAGAACATTCCTAGTGATGTCTTTATGAGCGATTACAAGATGGGTGGAAAGAGCAGGAGGGGTGTATATTTTGCATGCACTTCATAGTCCCTCATTTTGCTTAGATGGACCATGTCCCTGTCTTGGAATTTATAATATTAGTTGAATTATGATGAAATAATAAAGACATGATACTTAATAAAATAATCCATTGAAGGTTTACTTGTAATTTGCAAAAAGGAAGAACATTAGAAAACATAACTTTTTCTTTTCTAGTACAGACTACAGTATAGTTTCTCTAGCATCTCAAGGCTCTTTTTGCAAGTATTCGAAGTAGACATTAAAGCAGGCCGTATACACGTAGCCATGCTGCAGGCAGACTCAGACATTACCTAGCGCGATCGCCTGCCTCCTGGTCGCTAACGTTTAGCCTGCGCATGGGCTCAGTTCCTTTCTGTCCGCGGATGCTTAGCTCATTTGGCCCCAGGAGACTGGAGCTGAAGTCTCTCAGGTGTCTGCTGGTGAGAACGGTTTCTTTCTTCACATGTGCCAGGACCAAATTATGGGATGACTTGTGTGGAGGTGGAGGGTGAAAACTGGAACAGGCAAGAGTATGCGTGAAGGGGACTGCAAGGTGTCTGGCGCGTAACAAATCTTCCCAGACAGACAAATCAATTAATTCACAGGCTTTTACTGGGATTCCACTCCCAGACGAGGTTCCCGGTCTCAGCGGGGCGGGGGGGTGGGGGTGGGGGGGTGGGGGTGGGGGGGGTGGCAGCGGAGGCGGGGAATTTGCGCATCAGAGATTGGGAGAGCTCCTTTTATAGATTCAGGGCATGGGGGTTAAAGGTTGAGGCGGGTCTGATCCTCATTGGTTGACCTTGAGGCACCCGCAGGGACCTTGACAAGGACTTTTCTTCCCAAGAAGTACAGGTAGGGACTTCGCCATTCCTGGAAGTATAGGCCTTCCCTCCTTGCGGCTCCCAAAGCTACCAGGGACACTACCCTTGGGACTTTGGAGAGAAAGTGAAGAAAAGAAGGGAATGAATGGCCACTGAATCATCTCTAGGGTTTAGCACCATTAAAAAAGAAAAGAAAAGAAAAAGCTGTGTTTGGCTTTTTCAAACCAGCATTTTATTTAGGTGGCTCTTCTGTCGGGTTAGAAACCCAACTTACTGGGCTTCTGGCCTTAGTGTTCTCCCTCCAATGGGCCACTGCCTGACTAGGGGGTCACAGTATCACAGGGAAGAAGGCATTAGCAATGGAAGAAAAGAATCAATGGACTGTGAGGAGAATGGTGATCAAGAAGTGGAAACGCTCATTTAGGTCAAAGGTTAATCTCCCTGGGACAACGCTGAGTTCCACCCCAAAAGAGTACTAATATTTATCATAAAATATTCATAATTATCATTAAGTTTCCTTTATGACAGGAATCATAGAAGAGCTTCTTGCTTAATTAAATTAGTCTTCAAAATCTGAAAACCCCACATCTGATGGGAAAAGGTATCTATAACATTGGAAGGAGACTAGAAATGGAGAAGAAAATTTTATAGCACCTTGAGGAAATAGAAGAGTTGATCGTATTCTCCCTTATGAGGATGTGAGGAATCTTTCATCCTTGTCTGAAGTTCTGGGAACAGCAGCGACAGCCAAGTCCGCCTGCGGGAAACATTTCCCAGGCAGATAATGAAGCTCAGTAGGAGCCCTGGTCACACCGAGTATTCTGAGATGTAATTTTTAAGGACTAAAGAGTCTTTTTGTCTTTTCTACCTTTCTTGGGTTTAAATTCCCCTTTGAAATAATGAGCTCCCTTTACCCCCATATCATATAAACAACCCTCCCCCAGTGGTTGCCACGATACTTAATACTTTGTATCCCTGTCTTGCTGACTTCTGCCACCTGTATCCCTTGGAGGGGGAAAAAAAGTCACCTGTAGGCTGCATTGGGTGCTAAATCAACCCAAGCCAAATGGGTGTATCTGAATCAAGTGTCACCTTTGCAATTTACCTAACTTTGATGATCTCTATTTATTTGTCCCTTTACCAGAGATACAAGCACTACCAGGGAGAAGAAAGGTGTAGTGTTTGCTATCCCTGGAAAGGGAATGGCTTTTCAAAATATGCACCATGGAAACCGGTAACTTCTGCTGTGGCTCTGCGTGAAATTTAGATAGCTCCCACCAAACTAGTACTCCTTGCAAAAGCCCTTAAACTCTTCCAGGCGTGGAAAAGTACTTAGCAAATATTTATGAAGATTTTCTAAATACTGAAGTATTTATAGCTTTATTTAAATATTTAATTTAATGATAATTACTTATATTTTTATATGAAATTTAAGAAAAAATATTGGAGCAAAATTTAAAGAAATAGCACCACCTAGGGACAAATTAATGTCAACTCTGTCATTTCTGTCCTCTCTCCTTAGTCTTGGACTGTCATTACTGTTGGAAGGGTGTGTTTTAAACTCCTACTGCAAACTAGTTGTTCAGCGTTTTGAACTCTCTGTAGTTCTGACTGCCACGACAAAACTCCAGAATTAAGCAAGTTTTAGGCTCTCTCCTCCAGTGTATATCTTGTAGTCAGTGATAGTACCATTTCCTCATTCTCATTGCTTCTCCTTTTCCTCCTTCCAGTAAAGCTTCAAGTTACTTCCATCCTTTTTTCTCAATCTTTTCTGATTCAGGTTATAACATAAGATGGAGAAATGATCATATTTCTTTTTATCTGCCTATTTATCTGGGAACCTTTAACTATAATGATATACTTTTTTTTTCCAATTAAGATGCAGTTGCTGTCTTGAGTAACTCTTTCCGTGGCAAAGACTGTAATCCCTTTTCTCCTTTCTAAGGAGGAGACTTCCAGGATAATAAAATGTCTTCTGGTAGCAGGTGTTTTGGCACAGAGGGTTGAGCCACTGCTGGGGATGTCCTCAACCTGTGTGGAGTGCCAGTTTGAGTCCTGGATCCTCTGCTTCTGATGCAGCTTCGTGCTAATGAGTCCTGAGAGGCACCAGGTGATGGCTCAACTACTTGGGCCCCTGCCACCTGTTTGATGTTCCTGGCTTTGATCTGGCCCAGTTCTGGCTATATCAGGCATTTGGGGAGCAAACTAGTGGATAGGAGGTCTCTCTTCTGTGCCTCTCACTCTCTCTGTCTTTCGAGTAGATGAAAGTATATAAACAGACGTTTAAAAATTCTTCTGTTAAAACTCTGTGCTTTTATAAGCTACCTCAGCATATCCTAAAGCAGTGGCTCTTAAACTTTAGCGTGCTGTACAAGTTAGAAAAGGGGATGACTTCCTTATCCCAATTCCAATTTAGTAAGTCTGGCTTGGGAACTAATTCATAATTATAAGCAGAACTCTGCATAATTCAAAAATAGTAAGTCTTTGATCTACACTAAAAAATATACTTAAATGATATTTGTTTTCCAAATTTGTTTGTGGAGTTTTTGAAACAGTCATTTAAAATTCTTTTTTTTTTTTTTTCTTATGGCAGAGAGAAAGGAGAGAGGGAAAAGGCTCTTGTACACTGGTTTACTCCTCAAATGCTGCAACAGCCAGGGCTGGACTGGGATGGAGTTGGGAGCTGGAACTCAATCCAGGTCTCCCACATGGGTGGCAGGAACCCAACTGCTTGTGCCATCATCTGCTACCCCACCAGGACCTACCTTGTCTGGAAGCTGGAATCAGATATCACTCCAGTATGGGATGTGGGCATCATAACCAGCCTGTTAACTGTTAGGCTAAACACCTGCCCCAAGAATCATTTTATAACACAGGTGTCTGGGTTTCATCACAAAAATGAGCATGCATTTTTGAAGCCTCATATTTTAACCTCAGACTTAGAGAAATGCTTCTTCTGAACTTCACAAAAAGAATGGTGTCACGTGGATTTTGTAAAGTAATACTTGAACAAAAATGTACTCTATTTAAGAAATACTTTTGGTCTAAAATTATAGTGATATTCTATTTAAATGACTTTCTTAATAAAATATCCAAGACTTTGGTATTTGGTATAGTGATGATCAGTAGAGATATACTGTACATTTTCCATGTTTTGGCTTAATTTTTGTCAGAACATTCCATAATTTATATCATGAATAATGAGATATGTAAATTCACACATTTCCAGCTAATTATTCAAATGTCAACTTGATTTCTGATTTTTGATGAGTTAAGTAACAGGAGATTCTCCTTTGGAAGAGTCAGAAGGATTGCTTTTCTGCTGAACTGGAGTGTGGGTAATAGTGGATGGTACAAGTCAGTTTTGATAATCGCGGTGATTTACAGCAGTTTGGTCAACTTCAGGCCACACAGAACCGTGCTGGTTAACACATCCTTCGTCTTTTCTGTGTTACTTATACAAAAATGGGGAAAAAGCATATTGAAGGAAACCTGCTTCGTCAATAGGTCCCAGGAGGGAAAGAAATGTTTTGGATGACTGTATCTTTAAACTTCTTTAAAATGTGGTTATCATGCAGTAACCTGAGACATCATATGCATTTTATTTTTTCCCTTCAATGTTATCTTTGCCTTTTGTAATTACTGATCACTCTTTAAAGAAAATAAAATTGATGTGTTCAGGGCATTGTCAGCAGTGTCCCCAGGGACATTTGAGGTTCATGAGCACCTGCACTGTTTCACCCTCCCTCCTTTTTTCAGAGTAAAGATGGCAAAAGTCCATTGCACATGACAGCTGTCCATGGAAGATTCACACGGTCACAGACCCTCATTCAGAATGGTAAGAGAGATGCTTCTGTAGTTTCATTATTTGAAATTTCTTGATCTGACTGAGTTTCGCTATTAGTCATTGAATGTGAGAGTTGATGCCTGTTTTGGAGTTTTTATAAGCATGGTTTTACACAATCCTTTGACACACTCTGCTGAAAGCTACTTATCAGATACATTAGAAACTTCTAACTTAGTAATGAGAACATAGAACAACAGTTTTGTAGTCAGTTCCCAGTCAGGCAACGCATATGTGAGCTTTGAAATGCGAAATGGTGTGTTTGTGTCAACATCTTATGCTTTTCCCTATGAAGCTAATAAAAATAAGTAGCATACATTTTCTAGCAGTAAATTTATTTTTAGATTTTAGAGTTCATTGTAGTTTGCTAAGTTAAAACTCATTAAGCTACTTGGGCAAATGTAAGAAAAATGAGGTGACTCAGAGGAAAAGCAGATAAGTATTTGATATATAGGATAATAAAATCACAGCCTTGACAGAGACCTTGGAAAGTCACGTAATAGAGTACTTTTCCAGGCCCACAACAAAGGTGTACTTGAACTCTTGAGTTGTCTGAAGGCCAAGTACTGGGGAGTGTCCCGTACTTCATGGTTCTCTGTAAATGAGTCCTGGCTAGAATATGAGCAATTTGACTTTGACAACTCCTGTTATCTTAGCAAATATTAGAGACAATTGAAAAAAAAAAAAAAAGACTTAGTCTAGATCTTATGTTGGCATTCCAGGTCAATTCATAAACTATCTTTAGTTGGCCCACATTTCTGCTTCTCAAATTTCTTAGTCTATTTTATTGACCCTATATTTTTCTCATCTGCAAGAATTTTGGATGATGTACAGTTGGATTGCTAGTGGCACTGAGTTTATGTCTGTTGGTACCTGTGCCATAAAATCAAAAGATTATCTGACATTCGGATGGAAGACCAGGCAGTGAAATTATGCTTAGGAAGCAAAATACTGTGGCAAAGCAAAAAAGTTTATCATAGCATTTCAATGAAGCTGTAGAGAAAAATAAATCCTAAAAAATGTCCCATGATTACCAAGGAAGGTAAAAATGGAAATTAATTGTACAACACATATTATTTTTAATTTGAAATAATGCCATGCCTTTGATAAAATTTTACTGAAAGAGGGCACTTCCATTGTTTTGTTTTGCTGGATGTCCCACCGTCTTTAAAGACAAACAAAACTTTAAAAGAAGTTTATTGTGAATTTAAGCAATGGACCCTAGCTCCATGGCATAAAATAGCTTTGTCCCTTGTTAAAGTAGCCTCAAGTACCAGATCAAGATTGGAAGGAATACAGTTTTTCACCTTGTGTTAAGTACTGCATTCCCACAGGTCCATCCCTATGTGCTAGGCTGTGCTGTCCCTCTCCTTTGCATCAAGGCCATGACCCATATCCCCTCTGTCACACTGGTGTGTTTACCCCGGTCCCTGGGGCCTATTGGCTGCTTTAACCCTTCCAAGAGCCGTGCTATGGGTGTAGAGATTCCTATGCCCTCTTTAGACATTCTCGGTAGAGTTTTGAGTTGAGGCAAGACTGAGAGACCTTATCTCATCTCTGTAATCCATAGATCTTTGTCTCGGAGGCTGTCTCATTCTTGGCTGCCCTGGCATCTTGCTTATGGTTTGAGTGGGGTCCAAAGGCATGAATTGATGAGGATATATTGGCTATAATAGATATCCCACTCAAGCGTAATGATAAAGCTTACCTTGTTGAGTGTTCACCCAGTGTAGGCACTTGGCTAAGCACCCATATAAATGCTTCCAGCCGTTCTATGAGAAGGAAGTAGCGTTATGGCTCTATTTCAGATATGGAGAAATCGAGGCAGAGTGGTTGGCATTTGTGTTGGGGTACGTGTCCAGTATGTTGAGGAACAGGGATCAGAACATCAGCAGTCCAGCATGAGAGTCTGAATCCCCAACCACTGCCTGCAAATGTGTTCTCTGGAAGAACCATGATACTTAAATTTCTTTAAAAAATAAATTGAACTCTGTTTACTTTAAGAGGCACTTATATTTGTGATAGTGTTCTCCCAGTAAAAGGATGATTTGGCCTTCTCTTCTCTCAAGTCACAATTCTTTGCATTCATTACACATATGAGAACTGCAAGTCCTTTCATCTGACATTTGAGAAAATGCCCTTGGGGAGAAGAATCCGCAGATCTTTTTGCTGTTGTTTGTTGACTTCCTTCTGGGACGACTCCTGGGCTGCTGCTGAGCCTCCCTCTCCAGGGGCTCATAGCCCAGCGTGGGTCACAGCACAGCTGGCCCCTCTCTCCTGCAGAAACTGGAGCAGCAGTGCACGTGGGACTGCAGTTGAAGTGCCCTGCTGGGGAACACTCTGCTGTCTTGTTTTGCAAAGTCACTCTGGTGTTGGCACTTTGGGTGCTTTGCTCTGCTTTCCCGACTGTCTCCAGTCGGGGCTATTAGTTCTTCATAACAACATTGCTTCTCCAGAATCATTCAGCTTTGGCAAGACGGTCGTTGGGGGAAAAAAAGACAATGGGTCAAAGCAAAGACTGCCTTGGCTGTCAAATCATGTTGTTCGTGGGCTAAAGTTGCATTCTCACTTCGGAGAGGGAAAGGGACTGAATGAAGGAGCACGCTGGGATCAGGAGGCGTTTGATCCAGCCATCTGTGTCAAGCAGCTGCCTCAGCTGCTGTCCAGCAGCTCACAAAAGCTGAAAAATGATGTCTCCTTCACAGAAGCTTTCAACGTAAAGAATCTGAGAAGGAAGCCTCAAGTGCTGGGTGGGGTGACTCACTGTAAGAGTTCTGGCTCGTGACCCTTCCGAGGGGCCTTAGGAAGACGACTGTTCTGTTTATACACAGACAACTAGTTTCGGGTGAATACTGAGATAGTCCTGGTGAATTACCCCTTTGGAAGGCTCTGCATGCTTCTAAACTCACAAATATGTGTTTTCCTCACTAATCAGCAATGACCGATTATCAACATTTAAGTTGCAATATTTAGATGAACATCTAGAGGTCTTATTTTAATAGAAAACATATTTCTAATTAACAATATAGAGTCTCTTTTTTTAAAGTAATTGATGGCCGGAGCCGTGGCTCACTAGGCTAATCCTCCGCCTTGCGGTGCCGGCACCCCGGGTTCTAGTCCCGGTCGGGGCGCTGGATTCTGTCCCGGTTGCCCCTTTTCCAGTCCAGCTCTCTGCTGTTGTCCGGGAGTACAGTAGAGGATGGCCCAAGTGCTTGGGCCCTGCACCCCATGGGAGACCAGGAAAAGCACCTGGCCCCTGGCTTCAGATCAGCTCGATGCGCCGGCTGCAGGGCGCTGGCCGTGGCGGCCATTGGAGGGTGAACCAACGGCAAAAGGAAGACCTTTCTCTCTCTCTCTCACTGTCCACTCTGCCTGTCAAAAAAAAAAAAAAGTAATTGATATGCTTTCTTGAAATTTAGTTTAACAGCAAAGTGTATGGATGATAATTATCTATATTTTTACATTTTTAAAATGACCTATAAAATGGTAAGTGACTACAACAATAAGAAACCAGCAGCTTGAGTCTTCAGTTCCACTCTCTCCAGTATTTTTCTGTTCTTTGCTTTCTCTACCCAAGTTTTGTCATATTTGAGGCTGCTAAACCTGGAGGCCCTAACGCTTCCTAAGGAAGATTTGATGGTTCTTGGCTAGGAAGGTGGTGGAAGGATGTGGTGCTTGTCGAGAGGCAAGGCTTCTTCCCTGGCTGTGTTCCGAGGTTAGACCTTTCAGGCAGATGGCTGTGAGCCCTGAGATGGACATTTGCACCCTGGAATTCTCCGAGGTGTCTATCCCTGGAGACCAGGTGGCTGCCTGTCCCCAAAGCTACCATCAAGTCATAAATATTGGTAATCTGAAATTGATCTAATTAGATGCTTCTAAATTCAGATCATAATGAATCATCTCTTCAGTTTCTAGAAGAGGACAGTAACTAACTTCATTTTATTATTTTTATTATTTTTCCTGATGATAAAATTAGTATGTGTTCACTCTAAGCTAAAATTAAATCATGAAGGCAGTCTCTCACAATCATCAATAATGGGTCTTCCAAAGAATTTTTATGGTAGTTGGGTGAAACTTCTAGATTTTTCTATGCACTTAAGAATGTATATGTAAAAATGTAAATTATTATTTTTAAAGAAATTATCAGATTTATTTAAACAACTAATTTTTAAAATAACCACTGTCCCATAGAAACAAATATTTGAGGGAAGATTTTTTTTTTAAGATTTATTTATTTATTTAAAAGGCAGAGTTACAGAGAGGGAGAGGCAGAGGCACAGAGAGACAGAGAGAGAGAGAGAGAAAGAACCATTCACTGGTTCACTCCCCAGATGGTTGCAATGGTTGGAGCCAGGCCAATCCAAAGCCAGGAGCCAGGAGCTTCTTCTGGATCTCCCACATGGGTGCAGAGGCCCAAGCACTTAAGCCGTCTTCTACTGCTTTCCCAGGGCATAGCAGAGAGCTGGATCAGCAGTGGAGCAGCTGGGACTCAAACCAGTGCCCATAGGAGATGCCAGCGCTGCAGGCTGCGGCTTTACCTGCTGTGCCACAGCGCCGGCCCCTGAAGATTGGTTTTTGTATGCAAGTTGCCATTTATATTTCTCTGTGACAAAGTAAAAAAGGGATTACCTTTTTGTAAATAGCTATTAAGCTGAAAACCCCCAAGGCTGCAAATTTGTGGTGGCAAATTTATTTTTAATTTAGACTTCACACATGTAACTGTTGGTTTGAATCGTCTGAGATCCTGTGTGTGCTGGTTGCAGTTTTTGAAACATGTGCTTCCCCTCTGAAGCCCACAACTTATTTGGTCATCATTTTCCTTGGTAGCAAAGATTCTGATTCACGAATTGTGTTTTTTATCAATATGCCTTCCTATAAAAATATGGCTTGTTGAAAATTTTAGGGAGGTGTCGGTCATATGACAAATGTTAGGATGAAAGACCATACAGATATCATTATGAGGATTTTATAATGGGCTTATTCCAAGGAACAGT